CCCCCCCCCTCCCCCTCTTTTTCTTATGAGGCATTCCACATCACTTAACTTACATTGGTTGGCAGTTGCTAGGAGCTATCCTCTTCTTCATCATACTCCTTCTCCAGCTGCTCCCTGGCCTCCGCCCTCCGCTGCCTCTTCTTAACACGGGACGGTGCGTCCTTAAGCCAGTCAGCTGTCAACTTAATGACTTCCGAGACCGTAGACTCTGTCCATCGACGTCGCACGGCACCTGCAAAAACAAAAAAATCACCCTCTTACTCATCTCCCTGTGGCCGGCCTGAACAACAACTAAGAAACACCCCAAATGGAGGTCATTAACTCACACATTACTGCCTTGAAGAGTAAAGTGCCCATAAAGGCATCCTTCTTCTCCTTTCCAGCACGGCAAATTCCCCTCATAGATTTCGTTGCGGCGAAGGAATCCACAAAAAGTGTCTTCATCACTGAAAAAACAGCATCTCGAAGAGAAGTGCCACCAAGGCCAAAGAGGAAGGACACCTACAAGCAAAGCAAAGATAAACGTTACAGGGTATTGCTCTTCTGCAGCGAAAGTGGAAAACACTGATTTATATGACTCTACTTACAACTTTGTTGAATTCTTCTTTATTCTTAAGAAGATCATTCATCTTCCGCTCCTCCTCTTTCGTGCTCATCGGAAGCTTAGGGATATTCTCTGCTATGTTCGACTCAAGCGGTGGCAATACGCACGACAGAATTTTAGTCAGCGATGCCTCTGCTTTATTTGCCATCTTCTCCAAGGACTGCACCTTCTTATCGAGATCTCCAATGGCCTGCTGGACAAGTCTGAAGCCTACCGAAAAAAAAGAACAAATAAAAGAAAATTGGAATGTATTGCCTCATGTCAGCTAGAATGCTATGCAAGTGTATCAGCACCCCTTCCCCCTTTCTTCCATAACTAGCAATTACAGTGCAACAGTCTGCGAATAACTGACCTTGTGCTGTTGATGATGGACTCCCAAAATTAAGGGCCCTGTAGGTACTTTTATCACGGGGTGTCTTGAAGAAGTCACTGCCATCGGAGAGGGCTGGGGATGCACTAAGGCTTGGAGATGCGCTGGTGCCTGAAGCATCTGAATCCAGACCCAGGCAATCGGCTAGATCCTTGTTAATGTCAGCCAGTTCCCTCTCAGACACAGTATTTACGAACGAAGTCATCCGGCTCTGTCGTCGTAAACCTGGGAAATAGTCATTCTTCGAACGCTTCTCCTGATTGGGAGAAGGGTGAGGAGACTGGGCGCCCCTTTTCTGCACTGACTTGACGGGAGTATTTGGTATGGACACTCCTTCTCCTTTTTCAACAGATGCCCCATCATCTTGGGCGATGGATCTTCTCTGTGCCGACTTCACGGGAGTGCTTACCATCTTGGTCTTTCCCACCGACTTTTTAGGAGTTTCTCTTTCAGCAGAGGCCCTATCATGTGTGCTGTCTGCCTTCTGGGGAGTTCTGCGACCTGGTTCTCTAGCCTTCGATGGCGTCTTGACACGTTCTCCAGATGTCGTACTCATCTTTTGCGGTGTCTGTGTTGCTTTAAGCGGCGTCGCCACACGTTTTCCAGTTGTTGCACTCTTCTTTTGTGGTGTATTTTTGCCCGCATCTCTCGCCTTCTTCGATGTCCCCCCAGATACGTTGCTCGTCTTTTGTGGTGTACTGTGATCTGCTTTCTTTGAAGGGCTTAATGTCTTATCTCCTGTGACATTTGTCGTCTTTCGGGGGCTTCGGCTGCCCATGCTTGTAGGTGTCTGAACCCTTGTACTAGGCGTCTCTTCTTCCTCTTGGGAATTTTCCAAAAAATCAAATCCATTTTCTGACGTGCCGTCATGATGCAGCACATCATCATCAGATGAAAATTCATTCGCTATGTCATCGTGGTTCATCCCACCTTTCTCGACGGCAGATGCACTGGTACTGGCATTGGTATCCATCGCATACGAAAATCCACTGAAACTACTCTGCTCTGACCCCTTACCGTGATTTGACATTAAATGTGCAACATCCAGTGTCTGTTCGTCCGAATCAGACGAACCTTCACCACCATCTTTCCGTCTGCTCAATCTTTTCACCCTTTCACTTCGCGCATTGAGAGGTGCATCATCCGAAGAGTCGCTTCCCACCCCCTCATCTTCCTGTGCCGAAAAAGACCTCAGACTCTTTCGGCTGTCCTCGTAGGACGCTGGAAAAGAAGCAGAGAATGTATGGATGGTATAACTACGCAGACCGACCTTGTTAAGTGTACCGCAAGTTCTCCTGATCAGGCTTTCTTTTAATATCGTTGTGCACTTCCAACCAGGTGGCTAAAGGTGGATACAGAGTTCACAAGATGCGAGCGTGATTTTCTCGCCGGTAGCGTGAAGAGAGTTGTTTTGGTTAGCAGTTGACTTTATGCAACAGCCAATAACAGGCCGACGTGGGGCTATGCCATTCTTTTCAGCTGAATCAGCTTTGGAGCTAGCGTGATTTTCACTCAAGCGTCTGCTAGCAGCGTGATTTTCACGCAAGTTCGTAGGTGCACATTCTCGAATATCTCTCAAGTGCACCTACGAACTTGCGTGAAAATCACGTTGCTAGCTGACGCGAAAAATCACGTTAGCTCCAAATCTGATTCAGCTGAAAAGAATGCCATAGCATCACGGCGGCCTGTTATTGGCTGTTGCACAAGTCAACTGCTAACCAAAACAACTCTTTTCACTCTAGCGGCGTGAAAATCACGCTCGCATCTTGTGAACCGAGGGGGACACGACTGTTAAACTTTGTGTCAGCTGGATTACGGATTGCCCGGATTACCTCCGGAGTGTCCTCCGGATTACGTTGCTTTTTCTCTAGGATTACCCCGGATTACCCCCAAAATTTTCCCGGATTACCACGGATTTTTTAGAATTTCCTCGGATTACCCCTGCCGGATTACTTTTCGGCTGTCAGCCGGATTACCTTAGTCGTTTCCCCCTCGTTGTGAACTCTGTATCCATCTTAACGAATGGCATGCATTCCTGTG